CGGCGGTGCCTCGCCGCTGTCGGCGTGGCGATCGTCGGGCTCCGGATCGACCCGCACCGGCGATGCAGTGGCGATGCGGCGCGCTCCTCCGACCCCATCCACTCGGTCCCTCATCGGGAGGTCTAGAGACCAGGGCCCTCGCTCGCCCCCCAGGGCCTTTGGGCTCAGTGCACACATTGCTCGGGCGGGGGGAAGCACGCCCAGCTGGTCGAAGAAGATCAGGATGAGACTCGGACGCACGCGAACGTGGCTCACGGATCCGTGGATCTGGCGACAAGAGAACCCGTGCCGTCGGATCTGGCGTGAGAGAGCGGGATCCGCCGCTAATCCTCGCCCCTTAGTCCATGTTCGCGACTCTTCGAGGTATGCACAATAATCATGTGGCTCTCTATCCCGCCCCCGCTGACAAGAGCAGCAGGGGGAGGATAAGGAGGCTAAGGGGGAGGAGAAGAAGGAGAAGAGGGGGGAAGATGGGGAGAAGGCGAGGGGGAAGGGGGCAGGAGGGGGAGTGGGGAGGTAGCGGGGGGAGCGGGAGGGGCGGGGGGGGGGCTGAGGAGGGACAGGGAGGAGTGAGGACATGCCAGCAATACTGTGCCCCCCCTTGGAGGCGCACGTCCAAACCGAATTTGCACAAGCGGCATGGCAAGAAATCGCCCGCCACCGAGCCAGTACTATGAACTGGAAGGCCTCTCTACTACGCTCCAGTCGCCCCTGCGGGGGGGCCGCCCTGTCCGCCCTTCCTCCGACAACTCCGTCGGCCCCCTGCTCCCCCGCCCCATCCACCTCCGCAAGCCTAGGGTGGGGAACTCGCCCTCGCGCGGCCGTCTAACTCCCGTGTGCTGTTTGATGTCGTGCGTGCTTTTTGTTCCGCGGGATGATCCAGGATGCTCCTCGAGAAAAGACCCCCCCCTCCCGAGGAACAAACTGCACATGTCCGAGCGATGCCAGGGGAACGAACTGCCCCGGATTGAGGAGCCCCCGGGAACTAGGACATCACCCGTGATTAGGGTAAGGTCGGGCATGTCCACCTACAGGCGGATTTCAGAGGAAACATGGTCAGAGCATGCTCAAACGTAGCCGAACAGGATCGAACCATCGTCCCCAGACTGTGTTCTGACTCTTCTGGCAGATCCCCCCCTGTAGAGGGACGTGCCCGACCTGAGATCAGCGAGGGAGGGTCGGGCCGGGCGAAAGGGGGGATAGCAAAGGGGGGGGGTGGGAATCAGCTCACGTAGCTGATCTTCACGGCGCCTCCCGGCGCCCATGCATCGAGGAATGGGCCTGGCGGCGGGGCCGAGACCAGCTGCATGCAGCAGATTTCGTACCCTCCCTTTCCCGATCCCCCCTTGTCGTCTGGCCCGAGAGGGGGAGGGGGAGGGGGGGGGAGGGGGGGAGGGGTTCCTGGCCGGGAGCAGGCGGCGGGCGAGCGGAGCGCGCGCGCGCGGGGGCGGCGCCCCCCCCCCCCACCCCCCCCACCCCCCGGGAAGAGGCCGCGGGGGGGGCGGGCGAGCTCTCGCGGCCGCGGAGCCGCGCGCCTGTGCTCGGCAGCTGGCCGCCGCTCGGGCGCCCATCCCCCGGTGCACGGTTGTCCGCTGCCGGGTTGTCTTCTGTTGCTCGGCCATGCAGGGTGCTCGTGTCGTCGTGTTTCGGTTTGAACATGTGTTTCGTTTTCGTGCTCCGTTTTGAGTCATCGGTGTCTGTGCTTCTCGCTGCTGCCCTGCCCGTTTCAGTGTGCCTCCCTCCCGAGGCGAGAAACCAAGCACAGCCAGAGTCCAACAAAACAGCGTCTAGGTCAAACCTTGGGATGCTCCTCGATAGTCCTCGCCGAGAAAAAAATGCACACGTCCGAGCGATGCCAGGACATCAAGGATCCTTCACAGTGCTATCCAGAGGCACCGAGGAAGCCATGTTCTCCGTCAAGATTCCACCAGCCCTCTGGTGTGAGTGGTTCAGGGCGTTCGCTCTTCCACCTCCGCCTCTTCCCCTTCGGGGAGGGGGTTACCCTCGGTTTGGAAGGGGCGTGTCGCGAGGTGCTAGAGCGTCCAATCTGGCCGCGGCGAGGAAGCCAAAACGACTGATTTTGCGCATGGCACCCGCACTTGCGGATGAGGGTGAGGAGGCGGGAAGCCCAGGCGACGGCAGGCGCCCCCAAATGTGGCCCCCGCACGTGGCCTCCGCACGCGGCACCCGTACGCGGCACCCAAACTGACTGCCTACCAGACTACCCCAACCCAGCCCGAAGACCCGAATGTGACCCGGATTTCGGGTTGGGGGGGGTGGTGGTACGGGTTCCATGTGTTTTGTCAATGGTCCCTCCTCCCCACACTAGAAATGAAGGGCAAATTGAGGCCTGCGGGAAGGGTTGGGGTGGCTTGGTGGGTGGTGACAAACGTGGCCCCCGCAAATGGCCCCCGAACGCGGCCCCGAAACGCGGCCCCCAAGCGTGGCCCCGGAAAAGTGGCCCACAAACGCGGCCCCGCAAACGCGGCACCCAAACGCGCAGCCCCAAAACGTGGCCCCCTGGACGCCGACACCCTGGATCCAGCCACGCGCGCGCGAATCATCACCCCTGTCGCACCAATGGCCAGGCAGCCCAAGAAGCTTCGCCGCGATGGCTGCGACGACGCAGCTGAGGCGCCGGACGGGATCACGTCGGTGCTAGAGGAGATCAAGAAGACCAACACTAAGGTCGCCAACATCGAGAAAAGCATGGCTTCCCAGAGGAGTAGGGAGATGGAGTCGATGAGTGGAAGACCGTTCGGCCCCCCTCACTCTGATTGAAGCTTTTAGCCACATGTTGGTCCCCTGGGGGGGCCCTCATGTACTGAGGCCACTCCTTTGATCGATCTCCTCCAGAATGGCCCCAGGATGGCCCCCAAGGATCCCGAGGGTGCCCCAAGACGGCCCTGACAGGTGCCCACGAGGCCCCAAGAGGCAGGCTCCCAAAAGGCCCCAAAGTACAAAGAGACCCTTAAGAGGCCCCCCAGAGGCACTCAAGATTCCCCAATAGGCCCCCGGGACTGCCGACAGACCCCCCAAAACATTACAATCGGACTCCGAGAAACTCTCGGAAGAAATCCGAACAGGCTCCGAGAAGCATCCAAGAGGCTTCTGGCCCGCCTCCTGTTCATCGTCCGCCTACTCCTCCACCATCCTCTTCCCTCCTCCCCCATTCCCCTTCTCTCTCATCCTCCTCCTCCTCCTGCTCCTGTTCCTCCGATTCCTCCTCATCCTCCCCCTCTTGGGGTATGACGTCTTACTGAGCCCGTTATTCCAATGCATGCTCCTCCATCCCTGATCAATGCAAGTCCTCTGGGCATCGATTCTGAATGGGCTCGTGGGGTTATGGTAAGTGTCTAGAACTTGACAATTCCGTGTCCAATGCTGTTGGGAGGGTGATATCATGAGTTAGGCACGCTCTGGCGTGGAAGAATACAAAGGGCTCTCTGGTAGGGGCTCTCTGTTCAAACAAGGGTCCTCCCCTACTCGCGTTGTCCGCACGCATCGTCCCCCTTCCCGAGGCTAAGATCCCTCATTGAAAAAACAAGGGTTCCGCGCTCCCGAGGCCACGATCTTCCGTTCAAAGACAATGGATCCGCGTCCGGAGCGTCCAAGACGACCGATGCAAGAACTAAAGGACGCCAAGATGGCCCAAAATGCCGCGGCCACGAAGACGGCCCGAGATGGCCCCAAGGTGGCCCACACTAGCTTCAGGACGGCCCAAGATACCACCAGGAGGACCACAAAGGGCCACCACAGGACTCCAACAGGGCCCGAAGAAAACACAGCCATTAATCCCCCATTGGGGTTTGAATGACTTTCGCATTCTCGCCTTTTCGGGCTTCCGACAGCGCAAGGCGACCCAAGACGCCTCCACGAGCCCAAAGACTGCCCAAGGGGCCGACAAGATGACCCCAAGATGGCCCGAGGGCTACCACGATAGCACAAAAAGGCGTACAGGACGGCCCAAGAGAGCCTCCCGCCTGGCCAAAGAAGGCCTTCAAAGCTCTTCGACGGGCCAAGACGGCTCCCGAGTCCCACCAAAGACGGCCCCAAGACGGCCCCAGAGAGCTCAAAAACTGCGAAAAAGGCCCCCGAGAAGGCCCAAGAGGACTTCACGGGACCCCCCCGACTGCCTCGCCTGAGGCCAAGAGGCCAAGACAGCCCCAATACGGCCCAATGAGAGCTCCTCAAATAGTGCAGACGAAAGGAGTCACATGTGACGGCCTTCGACTTCCTCCTCCTGCTCTTCCTTCTCGTCCGCCTCCTGCCTCCTCCTCCTTCTCCTCCGCCTCCTGCTCCTGCTCCTGCTTCTGTTCCTGCTCCTGCTGCCTCTCCTCCCCCTCCTCCTCCTCCTCCTCTTCCTCCTCCTCCTCCTTCTCCTCCTCCTCCTCATCCTCCTCCTCCTCCGAAAATCATCATCATCATCATCATCATCATCATCATCATCATCATCATCATCATCATCATCATCATCATCACTATCATCATCATCATCATCAGCAGCAGCATCATCATCATCATAATCATCAGCAGCAGCATCATCCTCATCATCATCTCCACCGCCATTACCATCATCATCATCATCAGCAGCAGTAGCAGCATCATCAGCAGCAGCATCATCATCATAATCATCAGTATCATCATACTCATCATCAGTATCAGCATCCAGCATCATCCTCAGCATCATCATCAGCATCAGCATCATCAGCAGCATCATGAGCATCAGCAGCATCATCCTCATCGTCAGCAGTAGCCTCAGCGTCACCATCGTCGACGTCACCACACAAAGCCATCCTCGTCATCATCCTCGTCATCATGCTCCTCATCCTCATCGTCATCATCATCACAACCACCACAACCACCATCACCATGACCATAGTCAATAATAAGAATCATCATCATCGTCAGCACCATCAGCACCATCACTCTCTCATAATCGTGCTCATCGTCTGTATCGCCACCACCACCAACAACAACAGCATCACGCGAGGCGCGGCCTTGAGGGCCACGCCGGCGATTTTGGCGGCACCGTGGTTGGAGAGGTGCAGGTACCCTCGGCGTCGCGTCCTCCTCAACTTCCTCCTCCTCCTCCACCACCTACTTCTCCTCCTCTTCCTCCTCCTCCCTTTCCCGCCCTCATCCTCGTCCGCCCTACATCGACGGGTGCAACCGACACGAACAAATTGGCCTGGCAAAGAACCCAGCCGTATGCAGTTGCGAGTGCCGTCGTTGCGAGTATCGCCTTCGGTGGAGCTCCTTATGGGGCCACGAAGCGCGTGAGGGGTGTGTCGACATGGGTGGAGCTGCCGCTTGCGAATATGGCCACTGGGGCCTTCTGTCGAGCTCCCTATGGGGCCACGAAGCGCATGAAGGGTGCACCGAGATGGGTTGGGCGGCCGCGTGCGAAGATTGCTACTGGGACCTTCGGAGGGGCTCCCGGTGTGCCGAAATTGGCGGAGGGACGCGTGCGAACTGTACCACTGGGACCTTCGGTGGAGCTCCCCATGGGGTCACGAAACGCGTGAGGGACGTGCCGAACTGGGTGGGGCGGGCGCATGTGGTCTGCGCCGCTGGGGCCTGCGGTGGAGCTCCCCACAGGGCCACGAAACGTGTGAGGTGTGCCGACGTGAGTGGGGGGGTGCGCATGCGGGCTGCGCCACTGGGACCTTCGGCGGATCTCCCTGCGGGGCCACGAAACGTGTGAGGAGTTTGCCCAAATGGGTGCGGCGAACGCATGCGGGCTGCGCCAGTGGGCCATTCGGCTGAAGACGCTTGTTCCCAATCTGCCTGTGGAAGTTGTGGTCCTCCCTTCGAAGACGCAACGCCCCACGTCTCCTTCATTCCATCCCGCTGGCCTCCTCCCTCTTCGCATCGCTGCCTCAGCCCACCGGGGGTCCGTTTCGGCACAGCCCTCGACCGTTTCGACCAGCCCGGATCGCCACAACTCACGCCCGTGACCGCCACGGAGCGGCGCGGCGGGACTCCGAGCGCCGGCAAGCTGGGATCGCGCTGCGCGAGCTTCTGCGACGGTGGGCAAAGCGAGAGGTGCCGACATCGATACCGTTTCTCTGTGGGCCTCTCCCAGGGAACGCTCTGACCAGGGCTTCGAGGCGAACCTGGCCGTGGCCACGAGGGAAGGGCAGCGGCATGAGCATCTTCTCCTCCTCTGAGCTTCCCCAGCGGGCGGCGAGCGAGCGAGGGGGAGGGGAGAATAGAGGAGAAGGCCTCCTCAGAAGGAGGCGGGACTGCTCAGGAGCCCCCGGGCCCCCGCTGAGAAGCTGCTTCTTGCCCTCGGTGAAGGCCTGGAAAGCTTCTCAGAAGGCCAGGGGACCTCCGAACCTTCTGATGAGAGGGGCGTTTTCTTCTTCTTCTTCTTCTTCTCCTTCTTCTTCTTCTTCTCACTCCCCCCCCCCCTGGCTCACCGCCGACCCAATTCGGCGATTCCGCAGGGTGTGGTTTGCGAAGGGTGTGGACACCCTGGGGTGCGTGCGAGGACCTCGACGGAGCTTTCCGCCGCTCCCCGAGGAGGCCCGGCGAGGACGGTGTCGTGCCCCACAGGCCCCAACGGCGCCGATCGATCGCAAACCATACCCCGGCGAAGGCACACCCTTCGCAAACGCCGACCAGTGTTAAGTCGGGCGTGTCCCCCTAAAGGGGGGATCTGGGGCGAAAAATGGCAAATACCAGAAACATCCACCCAACAATTGGCAAACATACAAAGAAAAAGCCACCCAGAAATCGTCCCCAGACCATTTCTCGACTATTCTTGGATACTCCTCCTGCTGAGGGGGCCGCCTGTGAAGGGCTCGCCGACGAAGGACTGCGTGAGGGACATCGGCAGGAGCAGCTTCGGGGTGCCCGCGTCCTCTCCGCGCGCGCTCGCCGGCCCGGCAGCCCCGGCGGCGGAGCCGCGGGCCTGCGGCCACCTTCAGGTCGGGCGTGTCCCTTCTGCGGGGGGGGACTTTGGGCGAAAAAGTAAAGTCAAAAATCCTCCAACAGATGCCCCCCGAATGGGCACAAAGACTCCAAGAAACACGCCCCCGGACCTCTTTCTGACTATTTTTGGACATTCCCCCTGTAGAGGGACATGCCCGACGTGAGACCACCTGCGAGCCCCTCCGCTGCAACTGAGCAGGGACCGGCCGTCCTGGAATGTTCTCAAACCCCAAAACATGTTCTACGAACCAAAAACAATGTTCTAGGAACGTGGTCCCGATGTACAAGACAGTCTCCGCCAGAAATGTTCTGAGAGCATGACGTGCAGACCACAAAAAGGTTCTTAGAACATTATTTGGTGGGCCTATAGGCGAGCAAGGACGCTTCGCCACTACTTGATGCAAGTCCACTCGGCACTGGGGCATCGCACGCCCATGCTGGAATGCATGTGGTTGCAGACAGTAATTATTCGAGTCCTGGCCAGCGCTCGGACGTCCACTCCCCTGGCCCCTGGTGCACTGTTCGGTCTCGCGCAAGCTCTCTTTTTTTAGTTCTCGGGCTGAGCCAGGATGCTCCAGGACGGTCCAGATGTTCCAGCGAGTACCTCCACAGATTTGGGCCCCCAGACTACAAGGGCTCCCCCGAGTACAAGGGCCCCTTCCACGGACTGCAGGGGCCACCCCCCCCAGACTATAGGGACCCCCCCCCAGACTACAAGAACCACCCCTGGACTACAATGGCCCCCCCAAAACTACAGGGACCCACTCCCGGACTACAAGCACCCCCCCGGACTACACTCACCCCCGCCCATGGGTTGCCAGTGACGGATGTCGGGGACGTTGTCTCGGAGAAGGGCTCTTCGCGCGCGCATGCGCGAACGCGCGCGCGCGCACGAACATAGCCAGGCAGGCATTGCCACGCGCGCGTATCCGCGGTCGTCGAGCGGGACGTAGCCCCGCGAGGATCACAGTGTCCCCTACCTGGACTACAGACCCCCGCTCGGACTTCAAGGCCGCCAAGGGCCCCCCCCCCCGCGGACTACAAGGACCACCCCCCCGGGACAAATTACAAGGCCCCTCCGGAACCACCCTCCGGACTACAGGGGTCCCCCCGCGGACTACAGGGGGGCCCCCCTGGACTATCACCCGAAAACTAGTGAGGTAATTACTAAGAATAGTAAAGCCTGCATCTGAACAGCGGGATCCACATCGGCTGGCACGGGGGGATCGGGGATGGCGCTCCCGACCGTCTTACTTAACGAGTTCTGGTCGAGGGACGGGCGCGCACAGAGACACCCTCAAGAAAAACTGTGGTCCCGGCCTCCCCTTGCTCCCACTCCTCTTGCTCCTCCTCTGCCTCCTCCTCCTCCTGCCCCTTCTCCCCTCGTTTTCATATTCGTCGTCTTCAGGGTCGGCGGCACCTGCCGTAAGGCCTTCGCAATAGTAAAGCGGGATCAATGTCGGCTGGCACTGGGGGATCGGGGATGGCGCTCCCGACCGCCTTACTCAACGAGTTCCGGTCGGGACGGGACGGGCGCGCACAGAGACGCCCTCGAGAAAAACTGTGGTGGCCCTGGCCGTCTCGGAGGAGACATCCTCACGTCTCTCTCGATCAGAGATGCCGCACGCGCGAGTTGGTCTGGCGTGTTCACCCAGGGAACTTCCAACTCCGAGAATCGAGATGCCGCGAGCGAGGTGGTGCGGTCCGTTTCGCTTGATAAATCCTCGCAACTCTGAGCTATGAGATGCCGCGCGCGAGGTGGTGTGGCCCGTTTCGCCTTAAAGATCCTCGCAACTCTGAAATTCGAGATGCCGCGCGCGAGGTGGACTGGCACGTTGCGCCTGAGACATCCCCGCAACTCTGAGCTTCAAAATGCCGTGCGAGGGGTGGTCTTGCTGGATTGCCGGTCTCGCTTGAGACCATCTCACAACTCTGAGCTTCGAGATGCCGGCCCGTTGCGCCTGAGACATCCTTGCAACCATGGGCTTCGAGGTGCCGCGCAAGAGTCGGCGGTGGACAAACCTCCCTTTAGTAAACCTCCCCTTAGTGAAAACGGCCAGGGACCGAAACCGACGGACCTGGACCCGCAAAAACGACGGCCGCGACGCCCTCTCGCGAACCGAAAACGGCCAATTCTTTAATCGACGTGTCAGGGTAGGAGGTCTATCCACCTCCGAAACAGATGGTCCAGCGCGCTTCGCCGCAGACATCGTCGCAATTCTGAATTCGGAGATGTTGCGGGAAAGGTGGTCGGGCCCGTTTCGCCAGAGACATCCTCGCAACTCTGAGCTCCGAGGAGCCGCGCCCTAGGTGGTCCGGCCCGTGCCGCCTGAGACATCTTCGCAACTCTGGACTCCCCAACGCCACGCGCGTTGCGGTCTGGCCGGTTTTGCTTCAGACGTCCCGCCGAATCTAGCCTCCGAGATGCCGCGCGAGAGGTTGTCTGACGCCTTTCCGCCTGAGACATCCTTGCAACACGGGGTCAAAGATTCCGCGCCCAAGGTAGTAAGACCCGTTTCGCCTCAGACATCCTCGCAACTCTGGGCTCCAGGATGCCGCGCGCGTTGTGGCCCGGCCCGTTTCGCCTGAGACATTCCATGCCGCGCGCGAGGTGGCCCAGCCGATTTCGCCTGAGACATACATGTCGCGCGCGTGGTTCGGCCTGTTTTGTGTCGTCAGAAATTCTCGCAACTCTGAGCTCCAAGAGGGAGGACGGAAAAGGGAGGAGGGTTCGGAGCAAAACGAACCAATTAATCCCACCAGCCCTCTGGGCGTCGGTGGTTTAGAACGTTTCCTCTTCCACCCCTCCTTCTTCCCCTTCGGGGAGGGGTTTACCCCTCCCCCTACCCCCTGCCCACTGACCTGGACAGGGGAGCCCGCGGGTAGTTAGAGCGTCCAAGAACGACCCCTGGGAGGGCTAAAATTCGACACCCCTCACGAGGATCGTGCCCCCCAGGGGGGCGACGCTAACAAATGCTTCCCCCTTCTGCGATCGATGTCCTCCAAGAGGGCCTCAAGAGACGTCTCGGACTCTCCACTTGCGCCCTGCGCGCGGGCGGGCGGAGCGCCGCCCGCCCGCACGCGAGGCCCAAGAGCCCACCAAAACGTTCGAAGGTACTTCCAAGACGCCACCAGGGAAGAGGAAGAGGCGGAGGAGGAGGAGGAGGAGGAGAAGGAGGACAATCAGGAGAAGGAGGAGGAGGAGGAAGGGAGGAGGAGGAGAAGGCGGGGGAGAAGGAGGAAGAGGGGGAGGAGAACAGCTGCCGATCATCGGCGCTCTTCGTTCGAGTGCCTGGTGTAGGATGGGCTGGTGGGGATACGCGAAGCGTCAAGAATTTCACTTATGTTGTTGAGTTGAATTCCAGGAGCAACTCTAAGCTCCGAGATACCTCGTCTGAGTCATACTCGCATCTATGGGCTCCGAGACGCCGCGCCAGAAGGGGTCTGGCCCATTTCGCATGAAACGTCCTCGAAAATCTGGGATCCGAGATGCCGCGCGCGACGTGGTTCGGCGCGTTTGTCGTCAAACATCCACGCAGCTCTGAGCTCCAAGAGGGAGGACGGAAAAGGGAGGAGGGGTCGGAGCAAAACGAACCACTTGATTTCACTTATGCTGTTGAATTGTGTTTCAGGAGCAACTCTAACCTCCGAGATGCCTCGTCTGAGTCACTCTCGCAACTCTGGGCTGCGAGATGCCGCGCCAGAAGTGGCCTGGCCCATTTCGCATGAGACGTCCTCCAAACTCTGGGATCCGAGATGCCACGAGCGAGGTGGTTCGGCCCGTGTCGCTTGAGCCATCCTCGCAACTCTAAGCTCCGAGAGAGCAACGGGAGGAGAGGGACGAGGGTCGGACCCTAACGAATCACTCGATTACACTTTCGCTTTCGAATTGTGCTCCAGGAGGAGTCTGGGCGCCAACTGAGATATCCTCGCAACCCTAAGCTTTCCGAACGCGAGGTGGTCTGGCCCGTTTAGCAAGATCCTCCAAACTTTGGGCTCTGAGATGCCGCGAGCGAAGTGGTTTGGCCCATCGGCTTCAAACGAAAGCACTTCAAACGTTTTCTCATCCCTCCTCCGCCTCCGACCCCCTGACTCCCACGTGCCTATTCCTCCGTCCCTCCTCCTCCCGTCAGCTGGGCCTCTGCCTGCGCTTCCACGTTGCGGCCTCCGCCATGTCTGCTGCCTCAACATCCACCCTGCGCGCCCCATATCGTCCCACGTAACGGTTGTTGTTTTGACATGGGGGCCCGCGGACCTCTCGATCTCATCCCAAGCCTTGTTGTCCCCAGCCGTCCTGAGTTCGGTTCTCATTGTGAATGAAGCGTTGTGGTCTTCACTCCTCTCCTCCTCCTCCTCCTCCTCCTCCTCCTCCTCCTCCTCCTCCTCCTCCTGCCTCGTCCTGCGCTGCTCCCTGGGAAGCTACGAGCTGCGCAATGTGGCCACATCCGTGGGCTCATTGGAATGGAGATGTAGCGCATCCAGACGAGACCTCGCGGCTCCTTCGGTGGCCGCGAACTGCAAAACCGTGTCCACTTTCGTGACCCCCCGGGAATCCAGCGGCGCGGTGCTGGACGCGTATCCAAGCGAGACGTCGCGGCCCCCTGGGTGGCTGCGGCCTGCGCAACTGCCGCCACGTTCGTTGTTTTCCCGTGAGACCCAAACGAATGGAGTTATACGCGCACCCAAACGACACCTCGCGTTTCCATCGGTGGCTGCGAAATGCGCAATCACCACTTTCGTGGTTGCGTGGGACGTCCACGGGATGGAGTTGTACGCGCCTCCTGACAAGACCTCGCGGCCCCCATCGGTGGCTGCGAAACGCGCAACTGTATCCAGTTTCGAAAATGTCCGCCAATTTCGCTGGTTCTGTGTGAGCGCCAGCGGCGTCGAATTGTACGC